TACCCGTGCTCGTGGGTTTCACCGAAGTGGTGAACGTCTGAGACATGTGCACCAGCTTTTTTACAAATAAGGAAATCTAAACATACAATTTGTTCAGAGTAGTTTTTAGCGAAATTCATGCATATTCATAGTCCAAACTGCCCTTTGAGGCCGAAGGATTCATACAGTTTGCACATCGATTTAACATACCTCAGTGAACCGAAAAAAATACAGAATCAATCCTTAAACGAATGTTGTTGAATACGATGACGTCTTTATACAATGGATGATGTCATATGCATCTGTGGTAACTGTACTCGCCTGGTTAGGATGATGTGGAAAAAGCAGCTGAACCGATGTTGTTAAATATTGATGAAACGTAGCATTTAATTAACTTTTCGACAAACCGCGAATGGAACGGAGTTGGTTTTGGGGATCTTATTTGGGATTGAGGAAAGAAATGGATACATACAATTCCGGAATCCAATCCCATTTAACAAAATTTTCAATCAATTATTATATTGCATCACACACTTTTTCATTTTATAATATCAATTCAGTAATAAGCTTTCTAGAGTTGCGAAAACAGTGAGTCGTTGTCAAATGTGGTACTTTGATGAGACAACCTTGACGACATCTAATTATGTGATAACTCACTATCATTCATTCTAACATTAGGAGATCCTGTTTATTACAGGGGACACAACTGGCCCAGTCGTCTAAGGCGCAGCGATTCGCTGTGCAGAGTTGCGTCCCTTGGGCACGCCGGAAACCTATGATTGTGGGTTCGAATCCCGGTTCGACTCGATTATGTTTCTAGGTTTGTCAGCACCATACCCGTGCTCGTGGGTTTCGTCCGAGACCTGCATCACTTCGGGCTTTCCTCCCACATTAAGCTGGCACGTCGTGATATAACTGTAATACTGTTAAACACAACTCACTCACTGTTTATTACAAGATGGCGAGACCATGCATCAACTTCCATGAAGGTAGGTGTAACCATCGTATTCTAACATTTTTGACATTATTAACATGAAATTATTATTATTATTATTATTGTTGTTGTTGTTGTTGTTGTTGTTGTTGTTGTTGTTGTTGTTGTTGTTATAAATTTTTAATGTCCAATCTCATTGAATCAGGGGGCGGTCGGGTAGCCTAGAGGTTAAAGCGTTCGCTCGTCACGACGAAGACCCGGGTTCGATTCCCGACATGGGTACAATGTGTGAAGCCCATTTCTGGTGTCCCCCGCCGTGATATTAGTGGAATATTGCTAAAAGCGGCGTAAAACTATACTCACTCACTCACTCACTCACTCATTGAATCAGATCTTAGTTCTCGCTACCGCTTAACAAAGATCTGAAGACAGACAGAACGATCTGATATTCCTGTACTTTGACAAAAAGGAACTTGCTGAGCTAGGCAACATTTGTGAATTTAATGCAGCTTTAAGGCCTGGTTGTGCGTGTAATATCTGCTGAAAATGCCTAGTCGTTTTAACAAAATATTACGTTACTATAGATGTCTATGGGAAAACAGCCGGAGTGAACGTCAACAAGTCTGGGGGAGTTGTCTCCCTTACAGTTTAGGAAAGTGAACGAATGAAGTTTAAACTTAAATAAGGAAGACTGTTTCCCACGGTTCCTTGGTGGCCAGTGATGGACATTATTCAAACTGTGGGACCCCGCGATACCCTGGACACAGTGATTTGTGCTGTTGGGGTCGTTGTCGGTTCAGGTACTACAGAAATGTACCTGTACCCTACCTTGGCAATATAGCATACCATACGACACTAGTTTCACCTGTGAGTGAGTGAGTGAGTGTGAGTGAGTGAGTGAGTGTGTGAGTGAGTGAGTATGGTTTTACGCCGCTTTTAGCAATATTCCAGCAATATCACGGCGGGGGACACCAGAAATGGGCTTCACACATTGTACCCATGTCGGGAATCGAACCCGGGTCTTCGGCGTGACAAACGAACGCTTTAACCACTAGGCTACCCGACCGTGTTTCACCCGTGAAGATTCCGGGGTAGAATAGCTCTTAAGCAACCCATGCTTGCCGTAAAAGGTGACTATGCTTGTCGTAAAAGGCGACTAACGGGATCGGGTGGTCAGGCTCGCTGACTTGGTTGATGCATGTCATCGTATCCCAATTGCGTGGATCGATGCTCATGATATTAATCGCTGGATTGTCTGGTCCAGACTCGATTATTTTACAGACCGCCGTCATATAGCATGGGATATTGTTGAGTGCGGCGTTGAACAACAAACAAACAACCAAAAACAAAAACTAGTTTCACACTGCCCCTGATATTGCTGGAATATCGTTTTTGGAATAATTCGTTTTTCTTGGCATAATAACAGAATACAAGTAGTGCGATACTTGAAGTTGATTAAACGTGGAGCCTAACGTCATGCATGGTTCGGAGCAGTGGGCAGCATTAGACTTTATTACATAATTTAAACAGGTTCTCTTATAAGTTCTCTCATTTTAAAGGGGCGGTCGGGTAGCCTAGTGGTTAAAGCGTTCGCTCGTCACGCCGAAGACCCGGGTTCGATTCCCGACATGGGTACAATGTGTGAAGCTCATTTCTGGTGTCCCCCGCCGTGATGTTGCTGGAATATTGCTAAAAGCGGCGTAAAACCATACTCACTCACTCACTCTCATTTTAAATCATGATTATTCTATGATGTTGTTTTTATTGAGCGGATATGTCATGGTTCAGGAACTCAGTGAGTATGTGGGTATGGTTTTACGCCGCTTTTAGCAATATTCCAGCAATATCACGGCGGGGACAGCAGAAATGGATTTCACAGATTGTACCCATGTCGGGAATCTAACCCGGGTCTTCTTCGTGATGAGCGAACGCTTTAACCACCAGGCTACCCGACCGCCCCGTTCAGGAAGCCTTTTAGGGCCATTTGTTTTGGGGTTTTTTCGATACTTCTTGAAATTTCAAGATACTAAGTTGAAATTTCAAGAAACTAAGTTGAAATTTTAAGATAGTATCAACTTCTGTATCTTGAAATTTCAAGATAGTATCTTGAAATTTCAAGATAGTATCGAAAAAACAAAAAAACAAAACAAATGGCCCTAAAAGGCTACCGTAGTGGCCTGAACACTGTCATATCTTTTTTTACAGTTTGATTCTTAGCTGTTCATCATATCAAGTCAACATGGCTGTCGGCGTAACCTCGTGGGGTAACCGCGTGGTTAAAGCGTATGCTCGTCACGTCGAAGACCTGATGGGTACACAGTGTGAAGTACATTGCTGGCACAATGCTGAAAGCGTACAGCCATACTTATTCACTCATTTCTGTTGGCTCACGTCCCCTTTTTAACATCGCCACCATAACCGCCCACGTTTCCTCTCTAAAGTCGCCATGAAGCCAAGGACACGAATCCGATTTTCTCATTTGCGTCTACGATTGTGGGTTTTGAATCCCGGTTCGCCCAGATTATGTTTCTAGGTTTGTCAGCACCATACCCGTGCTCTAGGGTTTCACCGAAGTGGTAAACGTCTGAGACCTGCATCACTTCGGGCTTTCCTCCCACAGTAAGCTGACACGCCGTGATATAACTGGATTACTGTTCAAAGCGGCAAAGCGTCCGGCAACTGACTTCAACCAAAGACACTTAAACCATCAATGGTTCTGGAAAATTGCTGTCAACTCACACGCTATTACGGCATATATTGTGACCGGGCATATATTGTGACCGGGCATATATTGTGACCGGGCATATATTGTGACCGGGCATATATTGTGACCGAGCATATATTGTGACCGGGCATATATTGTGACCGGGCATATATTGTGACCGAGCATATATTGTGACCGGGCATATATTGTGACCGGGCATATATTGTGACCGGGCATATATTGTGACAGGGCATATATTGTGACCGGACATATATTGTGACAGGGCATATATTGTGACCGAGCATATATTGTGACCGGGCATATATTGTGACCGGGCATATATAGTGACCGGGCATATATTGTGACCGGGCATATATTGTGACCGAGCATATATTGTGACCGGGCATATATTGTGACCGGGCATATATTGTGACCGAGCATATATTGTGACCGGGCATATATTGTGACCGGGCATATATTGTGACCGGGCATATATTGTGACCGGGAATATATTGTGACCGGGCATATATTGTCTCAGGCGACTAATCTCTTTTTGAATTTGATGAAATCCTCCTCGGTTAGTTTTAAATTTTGTCTGGCAAAGTCAGTTATGTTTTCCTTAAGATCAGAATTTAGAAACTTTGGCACCCGACGAGCAGATATCTTATTCATCTGTAAATGTTCCTGAATAATAGTTTCAGTGGATGCAGGGCTTAGACTTGTGTCTTCCTCAAGTTCCGCAATGGTAATACGTCTATCTGACAGTAGAAGTTTTTCCATCTCTTTGAATGAATCTTCATTGATGGAAGTTGAGAGACGTCCACCTCGGATCAGCATCAAGGCATGTTCCCCCAGCCTTAAACTGAGCTGCCCAACGTTAAACAGTGAAATAGCTAGTGCACTTATCCCCATACACTTGTGACATGCGGTCGTGAATTTCTTGGGACTTTTTTCTTAAGTCAAGAACTTGATGATGGCTCGGTGTACGTTCTTTTCCATTGCTGTGTACATTTGGACCCCTATCACGTTCAACTGCCTGTCACTAATATACAAACGGCATCAACAGACCAAATACACTTGCAATGAACTATTCAAACAATGTACTGCATTGACTAGTTCACTTTGTTATGGCCCATAGTTGAAAGAACAGGCTTACAACTACAGTATCCTGAGTCAAATATATCATATCTATGGCCCCCAACCCCAGCCTAACCCCACTACCGCCCACCAGGCATATATCGGTGCCTGCGATAATGTGTGACGATTGGCGCCAATGTGTGCCCGGCGACAATATCTGCTGTAATACACCCTTAACTTTGCATTTTGACCTCGAGCAAAACATAACAGAACAATCAATGTTGTATCGAATTACTGGAGTATATTTTTTGTTCAGGAACATGTTAAGGTTTGTCATTCTGGACCTGTTGTATAACAGTTAATTAACACCTGATTAATAACAATAATTGTTTGATAGGCATTACTTAGAAGGTGACGGATGACAAAGTGGACACAATTTATGGATAACAACTTAGTAGTAGCACAGTATTAAAGAAGATGTTATCCATAAATTGTGTCCACTTTCTCATTAACATTTCCCACCCAAATACCATTGATCGAACACAATTGAATTACAAATTGATCTTGGGTTTATAACATTATGTTGCTGTCTGATTCATATCATATCATATCATATCATATCATATCATATCATATCATAGCATAGCATAGCATATATCATCATGTCATATATCATCATATATCATCATATCATATATCATATATCATCATATCATATCATATCATATCATAACTTGAGAAATTTGAAAACTTTGTTTCTATTGGTGATTCTATAACAGACGTTCAGGCTTTAGAATAACTCGACAATGCACTTGAAACTTTTCCGTTTTGATTATTACCAGGGCTATAAGGGTCAGCTCTTACAGTGTGTTATACCCTCGGGTCGCACGGGGAAACTGTGTCAGCTGCCAGTACTGAACAGCCGGTCCTGTCTGACGCCATGGGGGTGACACGCTGCGCTTCATCTGGCCTGACGTGGATCAGCGTGTCGATGCCGCGTGTTCCCGTGACGTTGACGGGTGAATCTCGGCGGTCAGGGTCCGGCGGGGCTTGTCTCGCTGATGGTGCTGGGACGGGAACAGCTGGAGCTGGTCTCCCCGTGGACTTGCAACACTGCAATAGTAGTAGTAGTAGTAGTAGTTGAGGTGAACTGGGGTTTAACGTCGCGTCCATGATTATTGCACTTATATAGCGACGTACATGCATGTGTGTGTGTGTGTGTGTGTGTGTGTGTGTGTGTGTGTGTGTGTGTGTGTGTGGCTGCTTGTACTAGTCCGGACTCCGATTTATAGTGCTAGCTCACTGAGATACATGTACCATGCCGCAGTTTAACATGAATACCCCACTCAGACACAGTATACTGACTCCGAGCCGACCAGTCCTTGTTTTAGCCCCTTAATGCCGAGCGCCAAACAGGGTAACAACAAGTACCATATTTTAACGTCTTGTGGTATGACGCGGCCGGGGATCGAACCCCGGACCTTCCGCTCTCCGGGCGGACGCTCTACCACTAGACAACGGAGGCGGTAGCAGCAATAGTAGTGGTGTTAATAGTTCAGTGTCGTCACGTCTTATGGGCAGGAAAAGTAAGGGCCATAATCTAAACCAGGTTCGAACCAGCGACCAACGCACAAACGCGGACTTGGAATTTTTGTGGAACTATCTATAGACACATATGCAAAGGACTGGCGTGCTGACTCGGCTTGTGTTCAGACAGGCGTATGCCGGGGAATCCCAGGAAGCTTATTGCCGACCTCGACCATATTCGAATTTTCAAATGGTTTGCTTGAGACATTTCTGAGTAAAAAAATTGATTATAATCAAAATCCAATATGGCCGCGACTAAAAAGATATCCCAAAATGGCAAATGTGTTATGTGTGGAGACAAATCTCAGAAAGTTTGGAAACATTTAATTCAGTAGGTTCAGAGTTGTAAGGATTTGAAGAGATGTACCCCAAAACACTGTGGAAACCTTGAATAATGATTTGTCAAGAAGAAAAAATGTCAAGCACCTAAAGCAGCGACGCCTGCAATGTGTGAAAGTATTCGGACAACAGGGCGAAATATATCTTTAAAAGTTGCTTGGTTTTTAGTTATGTGCCCTTGGTCATTTGGTCTATGACCTTGGAATTTTTGTGGTATCTCGAACTCAACAGACACACACTATTTGAACATAATCGAGCCATCGAGTTATTTTGCGATCACACTTGTACAAAAAATAATAAATAATATAAAATCTAACGATTACAATAGGGCCCTAAAGACTTTCGGCTTGAGACCTAAATATTGTTACTTTGGGACAACTGAGGATATTTGTATGGACTGAAGCCTAGTGTCAGTTATCGTAGTGGAAAACGAGAGCTACCTTCAGTTTTGACAACTTCAACATGCCGTATGCAAAGGGTGAAGTTGCGGCGTTTGCAGTACTGAGTAGCCACAGGAGCTCTGCCAGCATCCGGTCGACAGTCTCAGGGGATACACTTGCGCGTAATACCACCACGGTAAAGGGTATCTTGCAAACCACGTACAGTGCAGTGATTTGAAGGCAGGAGCGAGCCACTTTGAGCAGATTATCCAGACGTTGCCGCTCAGCTGTTGATCTTGACGATGCTTTTGAGGACATATCTGCAACCTGAATATACGATTGGACAACAGGATGTAGAGACCGGGACTTCACTGCACCAGACAGCAACACATGCAAACATACCCTCTTGTTGAACTTCACTGCACCAGACAGCAACACTTGCAAACATACCCTCTTGTTGAACTTCACTGCACCAGACAGCAACACTTGCAAACATACCCTCTTGTTGAACTTCACTGCACCAGACAGCAACACTTGCAAACATACCCTCTTGTTGGACTTCACTGCACCAGACAGCAACACTTGCAAACATACCCTCTTGTTGGACTTCACTGCACCAGACAGCAACACTTGTAAACATACCCTCTTGTTGAACTTCACTGCACCAGACAGCAACACATGCAAACATACCCTCCTGTTGGACTTCACTGCACCAGACAGCAACACTTGTAAACATACCCTCTTGTTGAACTTCACTGCACCAGACAGCAACACATGCAAACATACCCTCCTGTTGGTCTTCACTGCACCAGACAGCAACACTTGCAAACATACCCTCTTGTTGAACTTCACTGCACCAGACAGCAACACATGCAAACATACCCTCCTGTTGGACTTCACTACACCAGACAGCAACACTTGTAAACATACCCTCCTGTTGGACTTCACTGCACCAGACAGCAACACATGCAAACATATCCTCTTATTGAACTTCACTGCACCAGACGGCAACACTTGTAAACATACCCTCCTGTTGGACTTCACCGCACCAGACAGCAACATATGCAAACATACCCTCCTGTTGGACTTCACTGCACCAGATAGCAACACTTGCAAACATGCCCTCTTGTTGGACTTCACTGCACCAGACAGCAACACTTGCAAACATACCCTCTTGTTGGACTTGTATGTACGATATAGCTACACCTGCAAACATACCCTCCTGTTGGACTTTACTGCACCAGACCGCAACACTTGCAAACATACCCTCCTGTTGGACTTCACTGCACCAGACAGCAACACTTGTAAACATACCCTCCTGTTGAACTTCACTGCACCAGACAGCAACACATGCAAACATACCCTCCTGTTGGACTTCACTGCACCAGACAGCAACACTTGCAAACATACCCTCCTGTTGGACTTCACTGCACCAGACAGCAACACATGCAAACATACCCTCCTGTTGGACTTCACTGCACCAGACAGCAACACATGCAAACATACCCTCCTGTTGGACTTCACTGCACCAGACAGCAACACTTGCAAACATACCCTCCTGTTGGACTTCACTGCACCAGACAGCAACACATGCAAACATACCCTCTTGTTGGACTTCACTGCACCAGACAGCAACACTTGCAAACATACCCTCCTGTTGGACTTCACTGCACCAGACAGCAACACATGCAAACATACCCTCCTGTTGGACTTCACTGCACCAGACAGCAACACATGCAAACATACCCTCCTGTTGGACTTCACTGCACCAGACAGCAACACTTGCAAACATACCCTCTTGTTGGACTTCACTGCACCAGACAGCAACACTTGTAAACATACCCTCTTGTTGGACTTCACTTCACCAGACAGCAACACATGCAAACATACCCTCCTGTTGTACTTGTCTGGACGATATAGCAACACTTGCAAACATACCCTCTTGTTGGACTTCACTGCACCAGACAGCAACACTTGCAAACATACCCTCCTGTTGGACTTCACTGCACCAGACAGCAACACATGCAAACATACCCTCCTGTTGGACTTCACTGCACCAGACAGCAACACATGCAAACATACCCTCCTGTTGTACTTGTCTGGACGATATAGCAACACTTGCAAACATACCCTCTTGTTGGACTTCACTGCACCAGACAGCAACACATGCAAACATACCCTCCTGTTGGACTTCACTGCACCAGACAGCAACACATGCAAACATACCCTCCTGTTGGACTTCACTGCACCAGACAGCAACACTTGCTAACATACCCTCCTGTTGGACTTCACTGCACCAGACAGCAACACTTGTAAACATACCCTCCTGTTGGACTTCACTTCACCAGACAGCAACACATGCAAACATACCCTCCTGTTGTACTTGTCTGGACGATATAGCAACACTTGCAAACATACCCTCCTGTTGAACATCACTGCACCAGACAGCAACACATGCAAACATATCCTCCTGTTGGACTTCACTGCACCAGACAGCAACACTTGCAAACATACCCTCTTGTTGGACTTCACTGCACCAGACAGCAACCCTTGCAAACATACCCTCTTGTTGGACTTCACTGCACCAGACAGCAACACTTGCAAACATACCCTCCTGTTGGACTTCACTGCACCAGACAGCAACACTTGCAAACATACCCTCCTGTTGAACTTCACTGCACCAGACAGCAACACTTGCAAACATACCCTCCTGTTGGACTTCACTGCACCAGACAGCAACACTTGTAAACATACCCACCTGTTGGACTTGTCTGGACGATATAGCAACACTTGCAAACATACCCTCCTGTTGTACTTGTCTGGACGATATAGCAACACTTGCAAACATACCCTCTTGTTGAACTTCACTGCACCAGACAGCAACACATGCAAAAATACCCTCTTGTTGGACTTCACTGCACCAGACAGCAACACTTGCAAACATACCCTCTTGTTGGACTTCACTGCACCAGACAGCAACACTTGCAAACATACCCTCTTGTTGGACTTCACTGCACCAGACAGCAACACTTGTAAACATACCCTCTTGTTGGACTTGTATGTACGATATAGCTTCACCTGCAAACATACCCTCCTGTTGTACTTGTCTGGACAATATAGCAACACTTGCAAACATACCCTCTTGTTGGACTTCACTGCACCAGACAGCAACACTTGTAAACATACCCTCTTGTTGGACTTCACTGCCCCAGACAGCAACACTTGCAAACATACCCTCCTGTTGGACTTCACTGCACCAGACAGCAACACTTGCAAACATACCCTCCTGTTGGACTTCACTGCACCAGACAGCAACACTTGCAAACATACCCTCTTGTTGGACTTCGCTGCACCAGACAGCAACACTTGTAAACATACCCTCTTGTTGGACTTCGCTGCACCAGACAGCAACACTTGTAAACATACCCTCCTGTTGGACTTGTATGTACGATATAGCTACACCTGCAAACATACCCTCTTGTTGGACTTGTCTGTACGATATAGCTACACCTGCAAACATACCCTCCCGTTTCACTTGTTTGTACGATATAACAACACTTGCCAACATACCCTTCTGTGGGACTTGACTGTACGACATATGACTCCAGTGTAGCAGATGATCACGATGACGACAGGGATGACGAACAACGTCCTCATGACGACTGTGTAGGCAAGTGTGACGGAGTTGAAGAAGATGACATGACATTTTTTAGATCCGTCTGGGTTGTCTGTCAAGACGTACCAGGCAGCGTAAGGGCAGCCCGAGGCCAGCGTGAAGCCCCACACACAGACGATGAAGGCGCGAGTTGTACCCATGCTGAACGCCTGCCCGTTAACGTTTCCAAGAGCTCGAAAACTGAACAAGTAACAACAACGTTAGTTCAGCATTGGTCCGTCCCAATCGGCTCAACCATAATATCATTCGTCACCCGGTCAGCTTGGAGAGGAATACACATTGGTACGGGACCATCCAGTTTCGCGAGTTCACCATCACAACACAACATAATATAAGGGACTTTGGGGTGGCCTAGTGGTTACGGTAATTACTCGTCATGACGAAGCCCTTGTTTCGATTCCCCACATATGTGCAATGTGTGAAGCCCATTTCTGATGTCCCTCGGCGTGGTGTTGCTGGAATATTGCTAAAAGCGGCGTAAAACCCATTTAATAGTTCAAGCGGTAGTGAACAAAATAGTTCAAACGTCGATGAAACTAAACTCAGCTAAACCCCCCAAAGTGCTAATTTTATGAACCCCGTTATGTTTGCCCTCGTAGCTAACAATATATGATATTATCTTTGAAAATAGAAGGTTAAACAAGACAGGCCTGATGTTAATCATGATTTTGAAAAGCCTTTAGACACCATCTCTGAACGATTTATTGAACAAGCATCAGCAAAAATTGGATTTGGACCAAATATCATTAAATGGATAAAGATTTTAACTGATAATACATCAGCATCTGTTATGCAAAATGGGCATCTCTCATCTTTTATTTTTTTGTTAGAACGGAGACGTAGACAAGGAGACCCGATATCTCCCTACCTATTCCTATTTGTAGTCGAAATATTAGCTATAATGATCAGGGATAATTCTAACATAAAGGGCATTACACTAAATAACCTAGAGCACAATGTGCTGACGACACTCGGTTCTTTCTAGATGGATCTGAAAATAGCCTAAATGCTGCCATAGTAATACTAAATAATTTCTATAAAATGTGTGGCCTTATAATCAATGTAGATAAGACTAAAGCAATCTGGTTCAATGCGGGTAAGTTATATGACTTTAGGCAATGATTTAAAGCTGGTCTGGCTTAAAGGGGATTTTGAAATTAGACTAAGACCTCTGGGTGATCAATAAAAAGAAACGTTTAGCTGTTCTAAACAGAATACTTGCCAATTGGCATAGAAGAAATAATAATAGGGAATATCAATTGTAAAAACTTTGGCTGTCAAAATATTACTCGAACATATACTGATGGTGGTAGTGGAAGGGATAATATTGAAACTTGTATAAATGCTCTTAAACTGTCCACCTTTAAACGCTATTTAAAAAAGAACACAAGTAGCAATAACATCTTTCGGTTCTAATATTAGCGACTGCTTATCTCATGTTGACAATCCTTATGGGAGAGATGTGGGTCATGTTTTATGGAAGACATGAGTTTGATAATGAATATATTGAACAAATCATGGCTCAGCCACTCTGGTAAAATCATCATTTTGAATCTTCATATATTATAAAGCATTGGTTTCATCATGGGGTTCATTTTATAAGAGATATTTGTAATGAAAATGGTATTCTAAAATTTGATTTTGATAGCAGTTACAAAATAAAAGAAAAAACTTTTGACTATCAAAAGCTGTTACGAATATTCCTAAAGCTTAGAGTGAGTGAGTATGGTTTTAGCAATATTCCAGCAATATCGCGGCGGGGGACACCAGAAATGGGCTTCACACATTGTACCCATGTCGGGAATCGAACCCGGGTTTTCGGCGTGACGAGCGAACGCTTTAACCACCAGGCTATCTGACCGCCCCTCTAAAGCTTAGAAAATGTGTTACAAACAGATCATTACGTCAACTAAACATCAACAATGTTTTTTTCCGACATTTTTTTTTCTATTCCATTCTATTTTCTGACATTTTCTATGACAAAATGGGGGCACCGCGATTCGCTGTGCAGAGTCGCCTCCCTTGGGCACGCCAGAAACCTATGATTGTGGGTTCGAATCCCGGTTCGCCCCGATTATGTTTCTAGGTTTGTCAGCACCATACCCGTGCTCGTGGGTTTCACCGAAGTGGTAAACGTCTGAGACCTGCATCACTTCGGCCTTTCCTCCCACATTAAGCTGACACGCCGCGATATAACTGGAATATTGTTAAAAGCGGCGTCAAACCCAACTCACTCACTCACTATGACAAAATAATCAAGAGTGATACAACCCTTCAAGTATTAGAATACCGGAATGGTATTTACCACCTTCCTATCACCTTCACTGTTTTTTTCATACTACAGAAAATGTACTAAGGACTGTACACCTTTGGAATTTCAATTCAGATTTATTTAGGGTCAATCTACAGAAAGAAAGAAATGTGCTGTCATATTTGTATTTTGTACAAACAACCACATAGTTAACAATAATCTGCTCTCAGCAAAGAGATTAATTTTTTATCAAGTATTAAAAAACAAAAACCGTCCTTTGATGTATTCATTATAAGATTGAGTGATACTTGTCAAATGGAAAAATTCATATTGCAAACAAAAACAACGGAAGCCATTGTAAGCACAAGAAAGGGAAGTAACTGACTTTACGATGATGATAACCAGTGAAGCGTTCATAAAATATCTTGTTCAATGTAAAAGTCTCATCACTGTCTACTTTAAACATTGTATGCAGGCCTTACGTGAATATTTTTTTTATAATGTCTTCTACCTTGATCGTAAATGTACTTGTCCACTCTATATATGTGTTAACATGTACTTGGAAATGGAATACAATTTACATATAAAAAAACAAAAACATGCCCCCAAACATTTAATTAAATCAACAGTAATTAAGTGGTACGTATCACCTTTATTTAAATATATATGTTTGTATAAACTAGTATGCAACTAGGGTCTCAACTTCGCAAAACAATACCACTGTCAGAGTAGCGTTACGTACAATTATAATATCACATATGTAGATAAAAGAATCTTCTACAAAGATGGAAGTATCATCTACGTAAATGAAATTAGCATTTACATTCTAATCACATTTCTACAGTGTACGCAGCTTCACTATTGAGGGATCACACAGATAACAGGGGTGCAACTAGGCTAACCTAAAGGGTAAACCAATGTTACGAGGGCGAGAAACGAACGGGTTTGGCGGCATGTCCCCAGAAATATTTAAAAAATAAATACGCTATTTCCTGCATTTTGGAAGCGTTTATGTTATATTTTACTTGTAACAAATATGAGTAATTCATTTATTCTATTTTTTATTAGTAGTATTAATTAACTGAACTGCAACAGAAATTTTGCACATTTGAAAATAATGTGATTTTAAATTAGTTGTACTGGTTGAAACCCAAATAGACACAACAACAAAGCCCAAACGCATCGTTGCTGTACCTGTAATTTTTACCGGCAATGCGCACGTTTTTTTGTAAAATCACTCGATGTCATTGCTGGTAAAAATGCACGTGCCATTGGGGTATCAAAACTGCACAGCAACAATGTCAAACATACACATTGTAAAAAAATAATATTTGCAATGCCAAAACTAGCATCAGAACAATTGGGATGGTCCAGATGGGGACCACGCACACCCACGTTGCAAAAACCTTTAGTTGTTCCCGTGTTGCCGTTGGAAACTTGTTGCAGCGTTTCAGACAGACTGGAAGGGCGTCGGACAGGGGGACCTAGGGTCACAACGCAACAGGAAGACTGGTTACTGAGAACTGTTGCATCTCCGCAACCGCTTCCTCACAGTGACGTCATCGGCAGTGAGTGAGTATGGTTTTACGCCGCTTTTAGCAATATTCCAGCAATATCACGGCGGGGGACACCAGAAATGGGCTTCACACATTGTACCCATGTCGGGAATCGAACCCGGGTTTTCGGCGTGGCGAGCGAGCGCTTTAACCACTAGGCTACCCCTCATCGGCAGTGAATGTCTTGGGTCGGTTGGTGACCACACACACAGTGACCAGAAGACTTCGGGCAGCAGGTATCAGGGCCTACCGACCATTCAAAGGACAGATGTTGACCGCTGAACATCGACGCAGACGAATACGATTGACTTATACAGTGAGGTGAAGGTGAGGTAAAATTGGGTTTAACGTCGCGTCCAAGATTATTGCACTTATATAGCGACGTGCATGTACGTGGCTGCTTGTACTAGTCCGGACTGATGCCGATTTATAGTGCTAGCTCACTGAGATACCATGCCGCAGTTTAACATGAATACCCCACTCAGACACAGTATACTGAATTCGAGCCGACCAGTCCTTGTTTTAGCCCTTTAATGCCGAGCGCCAGACAGGGTAACAACAAGTACCATCTTTTAACGTCTTTTGGTATGACGCGGCCGGGGATCGAACCCCGGACCTTCCGCTCTCCGGGCGGACGCTCTACCACTAGACCACGGAGGCGGTGCTCATACAGTGCGGCGGTGGCTGCGTCGGGATTTACGTGGTCTTTACGGACGAAAGCAGGTTCTGTTTGTTGGGTGGATGGCAGACAGCGTGTTTACCGTGGCAGAGGTGAACGGACAGCTGCTTGCTGCGTTCAAGAAGTCGTTCCTCACGGTGGAGGTGGCGTTATGGTGTGGGTTGGAATTTGTGGAGACCAGACAACGCCAATCGTCGTCATCAATGGAAACCTCAATGCACAACGCTATAGAGATGATATCCTCCGTCCAGTAGTGCTGCCCTACCTCCAGCATCAACCCCGATGTCGTCTGGACCAACACGACAACGCCAGGCCCCACACATCTCGTATCGCACTGGACTTCCTCGCCAACAACAACGTCAACGTCTTGCCGTGGCCGGAATGTTCTCCTGACTTCTCGCCCATAGAACACAAGACAAGACAGACAAGTGTTGACACAAGCTCTACATGATGAATGGAACCGCTTGCCACGTGACCTCATCAGACGTTGGACGTTTTCCGTCCGACGCAGAGTCTTTGCATGTATGGAGGCACGGGGTGGCCACAATCGGTATTAGTGACAAATTTTGTGTCTGTGACCACTTTCTGTGTTTGAATGAACTGCATTGAAAATCTGGACAACTGAATTTTCAACTCCCACTGATTTTGTTTGTCTGGTATACAATATGTAACCAAAAAACATTGTTGGTTTATTAACTATACTTTAACTTTTGTTATTTTAGTTTATTAATTACATTCACTTCAATCTGGTGCAAAGTTTATTTTGCCGTTCAGTTTATATGAAAGTGTTTCACAAACACATTTACGACGTTCATTCAAAAAAGCATCTATGATGACAAATGAATTTTGAACATAAAAACGAATCGGTAATATTACTTTAAAGTGTTTTTACATGTTCATTCGTGGTATGTGCTAGTTATTAATATTTTCATCTTTTAACGTGAGCCGATCTATCATTATAATGGAAATAATTGTGAGAGCGCAGTTTGCATCCGTCAAAAACCATCTACAACTAAAATCCTAAAGTGAGTAAAGATTCCGATTTTCAAGTAAATAAATAAGACAATAAATATCATGTTCAACCGCGTTTATTTTGAATTATAAATTCACTGCATAGATGGTAAATTGAGGTTTATTTATAAAAGAAATTGTGGGGTTTTTTAGGTGTGAAAAAAATATGCTTTTTTCTTAGGTGTAAGCAATAATTATTGCTTTTCTGCTACAATGGTTGTTTTGCTCCTGGTTAATAACAGTTAAAACAGTGCGTTGTCAACTTCCAAGAGTTCAGTGCAGTTGCATCTAGAACAAGCGTATAGTTGACAAAGTAATCTATATCCCCCGCCATTTTAACACGTTATGGTCCCAAACCAGGTAACTGACCCAACATTTCTCTTAGCCCATGTCAAAATAGCTGCAAGGGAAATTCTAAAATAAACATTTCTAAAACTCCTTAATATCAAATGGCACTAGTTCAGTATGCGCTTTATATATAGACATGCAATGTTTGGAAAGGAAATATTTAACAGTTAATTTGTTATACTACTTAAGTAAACCAATCCTATATTAAAACTTAAATCCAACTTAATGTCACGGAAACATAAACAATAAAAATTTCTAAAAGTGCTATATATCAAAAGGCACCAGTTCAGTATGTGACTGGTAGACATGCAAAGTTTTGTAACATTTAACGGTTTTTGAGTTACGCTCCGGAAACGAACAGCACCCTTATAGAACCTAAGTCCAACGTGTTGCAATGGAAACGTAAAGAATAAAAATTTATAAAATTCCTAAATAGCAAAAGGCACCAGTTCAGCATGAGTCTGATAGACATGCAAAGTTTCGTAGAGAAATATTTAACGGTTTCTGAGTTATGCTCCGGAAACGATTTCGGGACGCACACACGAACACACACACGCACGCACGCACGCACGCACACACACACACACATACATACACGCACGCACGCACGCACGCACGCACACACACACACACACACGGACGGAACCCATTTCTATATCCCCCGCCAACTTCGTTGGGGCGGGGGAGAATAAACCAGTTTATACCCACATTGACAGGAACTTGTCATGTATTGCACGTGCAAATGGTTCCCCTAAGGCGTGCGTTTTGAGTGTATGTTTTCCATCACCTACAATCTTGCACTTTTCATTGTTTTTAATAGTCGTTGCCCATGTTTCCAGTTTCATAAAAAAAATAGCATAGGTTTATGTTTGACAACTTATATACCAAGGTTGTCCTTTCATAATGAGACCCGTGAAGATTCCGGGGTAGAATAGGTCTTCAGCAACCCATGCTTGTCGTAAAAGGCGACTAACGGGATCGGGTGGTCAGGATCGCTGACTTGGTTGATGCATGTCATCGATCCCAATTGCGTGGATCGATGCTCATGATATTAATCACTGGATTGTCTGGTCCAGACTCGATTATTTTACAGACCGCCGTCATATAGCATGGAATACTGCTGAGTGCGGCGTTAAACAGGAAATTCCTCTCAAAATTGCTGTGTGGGGTCTGGCATTGTCGTGTTGGAAGATCAAACCGGGTCCATGTGCTGCCATAAAAGGCAGAAGTTCTGGTGCCAGTACCTGGTCGCGGTAAGCAGCAGCGTTGAGGTTGCCACGGATGACAAGAAGCCTGGAACGTGCATTGCCACAGAAAGCACCCCACCGCCTCGAAATCTGTCAACTTCCTGTACACAACACTGGGCGTAACGTTCATGACGGCGCCACACCCTCGCCCTACCATCAGCAAATCGAAGATTGCGACTTCAGCTACGGACGTTCCCGTCTGCAACATGCCGATGGCACGTTCACGTTGCACATTTGAAAGGCGTGGCATGACAAATGACCGTAAAGACTTTCTTGGGTTTTTTCTTTTTTTGTTAATGACTGCTAACAAGTATGGCTGAAAACACGTGCGGTATTATGGCCACGTGGCACGTGAAAAAACACTTTTGCCACTATAGTGCTGTGCACATGATTTTGATCGATTCACCTGCACAAAAACGGGTGTTTTCTGAAGACAATACGTGGCCATTACTGTTTAAATACACGATAAGGGCCCACAATGATAATTTGTCAAAATGTTAAAATATAAGGATTGTGAAGTTTTTAATTTGGTTCAGTATATATTATTCATCCTACAATCAATATCGGGAGACGAGACGTTTACAGGCAAAATAACTTGATACTTTCACAAACACAATTTTTGATAAAACCTCGGAGTACCCAATATGGAACTGTTACCTTAATACATGATGTGTCATTCCAATCGTCCTGTTACTTATCAAACACAAATGCTCCAATTTCGCCTTGACTGTGTGGTTTTAGAGAGTGTACTGCTAAAATAATTCTTTGACCCTCGAGGTAGAAGTCACTGGTTTGCCAGCTCCGGTCTCTCGAATATTTACAGACCGTTGTTATGGAGCTCTCTGAGGCGTAAATCAGCATCCACTCGGTCTTACGCTTGATTGTATGTGTTCCGCTTGCATTGGCATATTTAACTGACATTTGCTAGTATGTCCGGTATACGGTAATACGGGTAGTTCCGTACCTTCGATAGAGAATTGAGTGAGTGAGTTGGGTTTAACGCCGCTTTTAACAGTATTCCAGTTATATCACGGCATGTTGGCTTAATGTGGGAGGAAAGCCCGAAGTGATGCAGGTCTCAGACGCTTACCACTTCGGTGAAACCCACGAGCACGGGTATGGTGCTGACAAAACAAGAAACATAATCAGCGCGAACTGGGATTCGAACCCACAATCATAGGTTTCTGGCGTGCCCAAGGGACGCAACTCTGCACAGCGAATCGCGGCGCCTTAGATGACTGGGCCACCCGTGCCCCCTCGATAGAGAAGGCACCACGACACTGGACAGAAGCTAGATAGTAATCTTACCTCTCAATACCAATAAATCCTATGGTGCAGAGTGATATCCTCTCAAAAACAGCCCTTCCTACAAGGTGCACCTGACAAATATGGACACCGAGGCTCCATGTTCCCAGCAACTTGTATAGAGAGAAGGGCAAAGCTGTCGTGAGAACAAACATCAAGTCGGAAAACGCCATGGAGAAAAGACATGTCTCAAAAGGCCGTCTCTGGACTATCTTCTTCTTCAGCATGACGACAATCAGAGCGACGTTGCCAATGGAGGCAATGGCGATGACGAGAAATTCGAGCGACGACACCGACTGGTCGAAAATGGACGTCATGTTGGATCACCTCTGAACGGAACTTTAGAAATTATGTTCGGCTCGGAAAGCACATATCTGGTCAAACAAAACCATAGCAACAATGAGCTATGACCAGGAGCCGAGATTTTTTAATTTATGAATAACAACTGCGGTAAAATTATATTACTGGAGAAAATGATAGACTTTAGTTTTAACCTGACACTGAAGAAACCGGCGGTGATGCGTAATGAACGTAATACACGATTTGACGAGTGAAACCACACAAAGATATGTTATTAATTGATCGACTTTCACCGGTACATCCTGCGAAGCCTTTTATGGCAGCAGTGCTTGCATGATTCTCCTGGGTATAATCCGAGAAATATTTGTTGAGTAACGCGCATGTGCAACTGAATGTCTAACTAATGTGATACTTCTTTATTTATGTGATTTGCTGTGCAGAGTTGCGTCCCTTGGAAACGCCAGAAACTTATGATCGTGGGTTCGAATCCCGGTTCGCCCTGATTATGTTTCTAGTTTTGTCAGCACCATACCCGTGCTCATGGGTTTCACCGAAGTTGTAAACGTCTGAGACCTGCATCACTACGGCCTTTCCTCCCACATTTAGCTGACACGCCGCGATATAACTGGAATACTGTTAAAAGCGGCGTTAAACCAAACTCACTCACTCACACTCGTTATTTATGTCACGTTTCTGTGTAGATCCTTATATCTCGTTGTCAAGCAAAAGTGAAGTAAGATCATCATCATCATCATCATCATCATCATCATTTGGTGGTCTTACCCACTTCAGAGTCAATCCACTTCGTCGACGGGGTAGGTGGGTATAATAATAATTGATATCGTTAATAAAGGGATAAACCACCATACCAAACAGGGTAGGGAATAATATTCAAGTATAAATGTAGCCATTACTTATGGCTTGTTTTAACTCTATTATTAGCACACAATCCGCCATGTGCTACAGCATATACTGCCGCTGGCGACAATACATGCCAACGGCACATATTGTCGCCAATCGTCACATATTACCGCCGGCGACGAGGTATGATAGATTTTTAGATGACTCAGGATATTGTTTAGGTGGACACCATTATGAAAGAAGCTGTACACCTTTATGAAGATGCTTTTACATTATCTGTCATTTGCCCTCAGTTTGCGGTTATTAGATGTAATTGTTTCTTCTAGAAGAATGGATATGATCTCAAAACTGTTTTATATCGAAGTACAAATTTAACTTAACATATTAATCTACGACCAGAAACCATAAGAGTTTTATCTTATGGTAGTCTTGGAATATACCACTGATACGAGGGCTGGTCAAAGGGTTATAAGCCTGACTAACTTTCAAGTATGGGCCATAACAAAGAGAACTAGTCAATGTAGTACATTGTTTGAGTAGTTCATTGCAAGTGTGTTTGTTCTGTGGAGGCTGTGTGTACATTAGTGACAGTCTGTTAACGCGATAGGGGTCCAAATGGACACAGAAATGGAAAAGAGCGTATGCCGAGCAGTCATCACGTTCTTGACTTTAGACAAAAGTTCTTCCCAAGAAATTCATGACCGGATGTCACTAGTGATGGGGATAAGTGTCCTAGCTATTCCACTGCTTTACGTTGGGCAGCTGTGTTTAAGGCTGGGAGAACAAGCCTTGGTGCTGCTGATCCTAGGTCTAGACGTCCCTCAGCTTCCATCAATGAAGAGTCAATTTAGAAGATAGAAAAACGTATGCTGTGAGATTAACGTATTACCATTGCTGAACTTGGGGTAGACACAGGTCTAAGCAATGGATCCATTGAAACTATTATTCATGAACATTTACAGATGAATAAGATATCTTCTCATTGGGTGCCAAAGTTTCTAAATTTTCATCTTAAGGAAAATAGAACTGACATTGCCAGAGAACATTTAGAGCTAATTGAGGAGGATTTAGCCAAATTAAAAAAAGATTGATGAAACATGGGTCTACCACATGGGTCTTCCACTATGATCCCGAGTCAACACGTCAATCCATGGAATAGCACCATTTAATTTCTCCGGCACCAGTGAAATTCAAGTCTTCAAGACCAGTGAAGAAGGTTATGGCTACTGTGTTCTGGGATGCAAAGCGTGTGATCCTTGTTGATTACTTATACACCGTCCACATGCACCACATTTACTGACGTAAGTAATTTTACACATGTGTAACTATACATACGTGCGTATATGTAAATTTACGATGCGTTCACATGAGAAGCATCTTAGGTGTGTAAAGAAAGTATGTAAATTGTGAAAGGGACACATATTCGTCTGTTCACGACTTTCAACAAAAAACAGGTTGTTTTCCCATCAAAGTTGAATGAGAAGAGAGTTACCTCACCGAAAATTTTCGCGTGAAGCAACATTTGTTTTATTTAATTTGTACACAAAGTTTTGACTCCTTGAAACCAAAAAGAAAACACCGTCCGCTCAACTCTGTATATACGCAAACAAGTTGGCAACTGTTGACAATTTGTTTGGTGTTGGCAAAAGAACAGATATTAATTAGACCATCCACTTGCAACATATACATACAGTGCAAACTTACATTTACATTTGCATCTGTTCCAGACATGATGTAAATTTCCTCCTGATGTAAATATACACATATGAGTAAACGCGTTCCCGTGACAGGTATACTCATGTATGTATTTCTACACACGTATGCACATATACACACATATGTATAGAGGCGCATGTAAACGGGGTATTAGAAAGTCAAAAGACGATTACCGGTTCCTACTATGCTGATCTGCATCATCGCCTGAGAGATTCTATCAAAGAAATGCGGCGAGGAATGCTGACAGCTGGAGTTCTACTACTTCATGACAATGCCTCTTCTCACACCTCTCGACTTGCAAAAGCTGATGTGAGACAATGTGGGTTCGAAGAGCTTCCTCACCCTCAATACTCGCCAGACCTGGCACCAGGTGATTTCCACCTGTTTCCTAAACTGAAAGAACATCTTCTTGGAAAGCGCTATGACGACAACGATAACCTGAAAGCTGTGACATTGGTTTTCCAGACTGGCTTCACAATTATTGGTTTTGTTTGTTAGGCTTAGAAGTTTTTGACCAGCCCCCGTACACTAGTTATAACACTAGTAAGACATATATTGATTGCTGTATAGTTATTTATCTGTAAAATGTCTGTTTATATATGTGTTATGCTGGGTTGTATACATGCTCCGGAAATGACACAATCCCTCAGTTTTCAAAGTTCATCATGTTTCCATGGAAATGTCCAAAATACAACTTTGGAAAATCTTTAAATAGCAAATAGGCACCAATGCTCAATGTGATCAATAAGAGTTAGGAGTTCCTTGAAGCTGGATTGTAAAGTGTTCGAGATAAGCCCCAGAAATACAGACGGACGGAAAGAATGACTTACTGACGACTATATACCCCCCCCCCCCCCAAATGACCAATCCTGGCTTCATCCCCGTAATTCCGAGCGCCTGGCACGTTAACAACAAGTACCATTATCAGAGGATCGAACCACAGACCTACACAACGACCTGCACAGCGATTTGCTCCTGATTTCCTGATAAAAAACACAGGAATGTTTCGTTTTTTAATCATCATTTTAATTTTACCGTAAAAAAAACGGCGAATATGAAAGCTATATCTCGTGACCTTCAGCTCAAAAAGACCAAAAAAACTCCTGCAGTTATACATTTTAAGCACGTATTTCTTGTTCGCCTTCCGTGGCATTATGTACAGTCTTCATAGGCTGACAATGAGTGAGTGAGTGAGTTGGGTTTAACGCCGCTTTTAACAGTATTACAGTTATACCACGGCGTGTCAGCTTAATGTGGTGCAGACAAACCTAGAAACATAATCGGGGCGAACCGGGATTCGAACCCACAATCATAGGTTTCTGGTGAGCCCAAAGGGACGCAACTCTGCACAGCGAATTGCGGCGCCTTAGACGACTGGGCCACCCGTGCCCCGTCTAAAATAGAATTACACGCATTTGAAGGCGAGTGTCTCAGGAAGTGAATCATGTTGCACTTGTAAGATCACGACACATGTGAAACAGATGCAGTGCGATGCTACGGTGGCCCATACCCGCCACTGGTGAGATCATTTTTACACTGTATGCCTCTATATTTTGTCTGGCGGCCGCCAGATTCTTCCACTGGTGAGATCATTTTCTCCTGTAAGCCTCTATATTTTATCTCACCAGTGGAAGTATCTGGCGGCCGCCAGATAAAATATAGAGGCATACAGTGAATAAAATGATCTCACCAATGGAAGATTCTGGCGGCCGCAAGATAAAATGTAGAGGCATACAGTGTAAAATGATCTCACCAGTGGCGGGTATGGGCCACCGTAGCAGATATGGATAGGGGATCTTTAATGAAAATGCGGGGGCGGCCAGTAGCTCTATGTGGCGACAAGTCAATACCGAAATCGTTCATAGGGAGGGCGGATCCAGCGTTTATAAAATGTCAAAATCCTCTCTCGCACGACTTTTACTGCCTTACAAGATACTATATCTGGTTTTCAAAACGAGTCGCCCCCACCCCCACTCTGGATCAGCCCATGGGGATCAGTAGGGAGATGCGCTTGCCGAAGCTAGCTGATAACAAGCTATAAAAAAAATGACATTTTAGAAGTGTGACCCTTTTTTAAGGCAAGCACATGCCATTGTGATCAGAATATGTCCATTATATGTTGTCAAAATACATCTTGTAATAAAATAATTTTGATCAGCATTGGTGCCACATCAAGTTTGGCACTGGCCCAAGCCACGTTCCGCCCTGAATCCATCAGACAAGCACGAACCTTTCTTTTGGCCAAGTTTTCAAGAGAAAATAGTTTGAAGTCGTCAGGAAGAAATTTCTGCAGCTGGTCTACATGGTGTAGTGCTAATTGGTGAGGGGTGCTTGACTTTGGCTTCCCCGACACCAACGCCAACCTCATCAAAATCGGTAGGAATAATTTCGGGTCAAGTGATCGAAATATGGACAGAAAGAGTTCTAAGTTCTCCTCGTCCAGCGTGTAGCCATGGGCGGATATCACAGTTTCAACCATCTTGTAGTTCGCAATGTCATTCTCCTTCGCGGCAGGGTGGGATTGAGCAAGTTTGGAAATGGCGTCTTTCACGACACAGTGTTCCTCGTGGTACGTCCTCGCGCCGTACTTGATGAGTTCTTGCACCATTGTGACCTGACCGGCGTTGATAGCCTTGGATATGGGCAGCTTTCCTTTACGATTAACAACGTCCAACCTCGCTCCATGTTTAACCAGCTTTCTCAGAAGCGACACTTGACCATAGCTGGCCGCAACATGAACGGGGGATAGGCCATCGTGGTCCAGGACGTTGGTCTTAGCGCCAGCGTCCAACAACCAATACACACACTTCGGCCGATTGTAGACCACGGCCTTCAACAAGGGGGTTCTTCCCCACGCGTCCTCTAGTTCAACTAAAGCCTTGGCTTGCAACAACAGCAGGAGACACTCGGTAGCCCCTGCTTTGGCCGCAGTGTGCAGTGGAGTTTCGGCGGAGCTGTCTTGAAGATTGGGATCAGCTCCATTCCCGAGGAGATATTTAACAATGTAGCCGTGCGAGTTGGTGGCAGCTGCGTGTAGCGGCGTGGTCAGGGTCGTCTCGCAGCGCAATTTGGTTATACCCCCTCGAACGCATGAGTATATTTTCCGGAGTTTGCCGATGTCGCCCGTTTCGGCGGCCTTAAGCGCCTCCCGCACGAAAGCGGGGTGGGGTTGGCTTGGAACTTTAACACGGCCTCCCCACCAGAATCTCCTTTGGGTGTAGGTGTGGCTCGTATCCTGCACGTTGCCCATCATAGAGAGATGGGGGCGGGGGTAGTGCCACATGTACGCCTGAAACAGACAATAGGTGTACAGTAAACTACGGTTATAACGAACACGCTTATAACGAACTGACGGATATAACGAACTTTTTGGTCCCGACTACTTGCTGTAGTCATACTGTATATGTACTTATAACGAACTATGGTTATAACGAACTAAAATTAGTAGTCCCTTCGAGTTCGTTATAACCGTAGTTTACTGTAGTTAGACAACGGAATTTGGAAGAATGCTAACATTTATCTCTATACTAGAATCTTACGCAGTTCCTGACCCCTATCAAGTGCATTTTGTTTAACCCCGATCTCAGCATATATTCCAGCAATGTGACAAGATTTTGTTTTGTGTGTTGTTTAATGTCGCACTCGGCAATATGACAGCGGTCTCTAAACACTCGCCCCTGTGAAATTGCTGGAATGTTGGAAAAAAAAGCGGCGTAAAACAATACTCGCTCACTCTTAACACTCGAATCTGTAGCAGGCAAACCGGTGGTTGACAGCACGAGCAACTATACACATCGTCGGGTACGTACACAATCTGACAGTTCAGACATTGTTGTCATGCGCGTTTAATCATATATGAAGAAGTGATCCCCGTACGGACTCTGCGTTAGAATAGGTTTGTTTGCGTGTTGATAAACGCCGCATCTTTCAGCAATATGACAGCGTCTGTAAATAATCGAGTCTGGACCAGACAATCCAGGGATTGCCATCGTGGGCACAACTGGGACACGATGACATGTATCAACCAAGTCAGCGAGCCTGATCAGCCAATCCCGTTAGTCGCCTCCTTCGACAAGCATGGGTTGCTGAAGACAATTCTTGATTAAGTTGATATATTTAATTTAAATTAGCAATAGAGTCAGTCGGTCACAGAGCTTGTTCTGTTTAATAGCCGGCTTTCATCCAAATTTTTTTGTTGTGAATCTTTTGGAGTGATTGGACACACTGCCATATTTAGCAACTGATTGACTTGAGAAGAGGAGCTGTATTTATAAGAATCTACAAGAGCCGTCACACCATGATAAAGTTGTCATGTTGTGGCTAAGCATCCTGTAAAGGTCTAGTTTTTGACACTACATTTATATCGCTTCACTCCAAAAGAAAACTTAGTCGCCTCTTATCTTTTAAATTGTTGGAGCTAACGTGACAAGGCAATAACTAGATGCATTCTATATGTTGACCTCTGTTAAAGTACTGTCGGAAATGCTAGAAAACTGTTTTTCTGGCTTCATTTAATAAATACGAGTCATAGGACTATAAAGAGAGCATATATCAAAATAACGCGAATTGCACTAATCTAGCCTGTCCTAACTGACACTGTGATTACCCTTAAAATGTACATTTACAGGTAAAATGATGATAAACTTAGAAAATATTCGTGTGTTGTCTCGCATGTATGAAATGACCTATAACCTGAGATAATTACCTAACACCTGTCCCGAGGTGATGACCTGACATAGTCCCGTGCATTCTCCCAGGTGCAAATGTCACCGAGTTGGGGGTGGTCTCAAAATATTGCTGTTATTGTACTTAATTGACATGCGTTGATGAGGTAGCAGTTTAGGATATGTACATTGTACTGCATTATATTTGCTTGGAAACATGATGGACTAGTTAAGAGCTATGAAACGGAATGAGTATTGGAAGGTTGCGGGTTTGGAATCCAGAAGTATTTGTTGTTCTACAGATGATTTCTTGGGGTAGCATTTATCTCCGCTGATGACGTATATGAATGTTGTGTTATGTCTTGCCACGAACCCTGTACATTTAGCCAAGATAGACACGACAGGGTTGAACTCACAATGTCTGACTGCAGTACGTAAGACAATGTAACCGTGTTCTGCCGCGAGCACATGTCTTGTACTTTACATGTTTCTTATTCAGCCGAATTTTCTCCATGAGTTGAGCTTTCGTTTCATATGGTCTGAGGTGAGGTGAAATTGGGTTTAACGTCGTCCAAGATTATTGAACTTATATAGCGACGTGCATGTTCGTGTATGTGTGTGTGTGTGGCTGCTTGTACTAATCCGGACTGATGCCGATTTATAGTGCTAGCTCACTGAGATACCATGCCGCAGTTTAACATGAATACCCCACTCAGACACAGTATACTGACTCCGAGCCGACCAGTCCTTGTTTTAGCCCCTTAATGCCGAGCGCCAGACAGGGTAACAACAAGTACAATCTTTTAACGTCTTTTTGTATGACGCGGCCCGGGATCGAACCCTGGACCTTCCGCTCTCCGGGCGGACGCTCTACCACAAGACCACGGAGGCGGTCCATATGGTCTGAAGTCGACCAATGTCATATATTCTTGTATGGTCGCCTTCAGAATACTCATGGTTTGGGCGACAGTATCTGATTCCCGGACGTTATCCATGACAATCACACTGACGTTGTTTAAAATGGGCAATAGCTGAAGTTCCAACCAGTCTATGAACACATCACTTCCTATAATTTCCTTATGAAAATCACCAGTTTTCTTTTTCGCCTCGAAAACATCCATCAATAAGTCCCATATCATGGGATGCAGCGTGCAAAACAATGACACGATTACCTTTACCTAATGGTACAATGGTTGCTTTTTGTCCATCTGCCGACAGCCACGTGTAGTCAGTGGAATGATTCACCAAGGTAAATTATCTGGACGCCCTGACTGTGTTAGTGATAGTTATGAATGGTTCGGAGATAATGTGACCTCATAGACAGGATGGAATATTTTCCCCTGAAAAGTGCTCAGTCATCGCCACGCGCAGTGTATCGAAATCCCATCTCTTGGAGAGCAATAGTGCGGTCCGGAAAACATTAATTGTATCTTTAATTCCTCCCAAATTCTACTACAAGTCAGGTTACCTCCTGCTCATAAAGCTTGTACACTGTACGCCTAATCACCCTGTATCAAAGCTGTCTAAATCCTTTTACGCCCCAGTTGTGTTTTTGAGACCACCCCTATACCTGTTTTGTTTTCTTATCATACCGTAGACTTGATGGTATGAATTGAAAACCCCATAGCTTGGGCAGTTCCGTATTTCACCCTATCTAAATTAATAAATGGTTTCCCTCTATCTCTCTAAAGTGTAAAGAACTTGCATGCATTTCCTAGTACAGACTCCATATCGTGTACCATGGTTATGGCTATGCAAGTGTAATGTAACATGCATCATGGGAGCAATGTTAAGAAATAAAACGCAGCGTCATTTTGTCATTTTAGAAGATGCACATCTAGAATTTTCTCAATATGATTTTTGTGTGTGGAGATGTTTTATGAAGACTACATTATTATCATTGTAACGGAGTCACGTGCGAATATTTCTATAGTCCGTTTCAGACTGCCATCATTGGACTTAGTATAAATGTGAACTTCATGTTTTCGTTCGAATTTGTCTCCTGAAATACTTCAAACCACAGGTAGGGCCATCGGCAGTTATTCGAGATTTCAATAACAACAGTCTGTGAAAATTTACATCCCTTTTTAAGCATTTCTAGCATTTCCGACATTATTTTAGTCTGTTGTTTAACATCTCGATCGGAACCCTCCGGCTGTATGACGACAGTCTGTTTATAATTTCGAGCCTTATGATTGCAGCCTGTAAATAATCGACCATCAAGAGGTTCGATCTCCGCAATTGGAATACGATGACATGCATCAACCAAGTCAGCGAGCCTGACCACCCGATCCCGTTAGTCGCCTCTTACGATAAGCATGGGTTGCTGAAGGCCTATTCAAACCGGATCCTCACGGGAGACAGTTGGTTTTAACCAGTTTAGTTAAACCAACGAACATTGGCATCGTGATATAGGACAACCCTGGAGAGACAACTTGATGAAGTATAAAACAGGAAATATAACATGTGCATGTTTTCTATTTAAAAAAATGAAAACAATTAAGAACGACATTTTTTGTTTGTTTGTTTAACGCCGCACTCAGCAATACGGCGGTCTGTAAATAATCGAGTCTGAACCAGACAATCCAGTGATTGACATCATGAACATCGATCCACGCAATTAGGATACGATGACATACTAACCAAATCAGCGAGCAAGACCACCCGATCCCGTTACTCGCCTCTTACGACAAGCATAGTCGCCTTTTACAACAAGCATGGGTTGCTGAAGACGTATTCTACCCCGGATCTTCACGGGTCTAGTAGAACGACATTTAGATTGGTTAGTACAGTGTTTGCATAGCAAGAGGAGGTAGGATAAATGTGCGAATGACAAATGGGTTTCATGTTCGTTTATCAAGAAAAGGTAAATAAGACCACTTCAACCCACATGAACAGGTCGCCAGGCGAGATCCTGATATGAGTGTATACATATATTCTAGTAGCGGACAACGTATGACTGACCTGCATTGCAGCGCAGCATCCGCCAACAGTACTGCCCATGTGTGTAGGGGGGACAGTGTACCAGTTATCTAACTGCGGTGGCGTGACCAAGCTACATCGTGACGTCACAGTGAGACGAACAGTGGCCTGTTTTAGGTGCACCTGTGGGTCATGTTCACTGTCGCCGTGGCACGTGATGACATACAAACATGCACATACGGTGTGTTTCCAGGTCACGCAAACAGAACGTGCTTCCACAACTGGCGCTCTCCCTCTGATGTTGTTATTTACGTTGTGATGTAATCTCACGCACATGCAAGTTGCCAGTTATGGTAAACTTAGGGACTGGTTATGGGGGGAAACTACGGCGGAGAGATTGGTCTTAGGACTGTATCATAATTTACCACCCCCCACCCCACCCCACCCCAAATTTCTACACACACACACACACGCACACCCAATACAATGTCATATAACATTTTAAGTTAATTACTTACCAGTCCGTAAATAGTGTTCATTTTTATCAAAATAAAATATAAATTAAAAAAAACAAACTGTATGGTTCGTTGGTCTGTTGTCTTGTTTGTTTGTTGTTTAACGACAATCCAAGTAGCTGGAATACTAGGAGTCTTGTGCTCACAACAACAAATCATCCAAAAATGATGAACAAAACCGACTCCTG